AGTAAATTTAATTTGATACAGACGCTAAAACGGCACATCTCATCTCATCTTTTGCCTAAGTTTACTCATTATATATTGAGGATAAGGGTGTCACGGTGGGGCAGTGGGTAGCTCGATCACTTCACAGCAAGAAGGTCGCAGGTTCAAGCCTCGGCTGTGTCATTTGGTATTTCTGTGTGGAGTTTGCATGTTCTCACCGTGTTGGCATGGGTTTCCTCCAGGTGCACAGGTTTCCCCCACAGTCCAAAGACAAGAACTATAGGTGAATTTAATAAAATAAATTGCCCATAGTGTATGTGTGTGAATGAGACTCTATGGGTGTTTCCCCATGATGAGTTGCAGCTGGAAGGGCATCCGCTGCATAAAACATATGCTGGATAAGTTGGCGATTCAATCCGTTGTGGCAACCCCTGCTTAATAAAGGGACTAAGCCAAAAAGAAAATGAACGAATATTGAGGAAAAATGTATATTTAAATAAAAAAATATACAGTGTAAAAATGACTGCCTTAAATCTTGTTGTTGAATCAAATAAACTTAAGGAATTTAAATTGCATTAAACTGACGTAAAACAGATTGTGTAACTTAAACATAAGTAACTTGGATTAATATGTTGCAATTAACATAAAGCATGTGTTGTCATGACATTTATTATATACATTTTTCAATTACAGCGTGTAATATGTAGTGGGCACACATGTGTGTGTATATAATACTCTGAAAAACATTATGCAAAAATAATCCGTTGCGTTTACTCAAATTGTTTAAGGTAAGTTGTTGTAAAGGATTTATTTGGGCTGGATATAAACATTTTAATAACACAACAATTTGTCTGTTTAACTTTAGCCTATATCAATAGTTTGCAACAATTGTGCAGAAACCATTTTTTTCAGTGTGTTAAGATATTTCTCAAAATGAGAATATATTTCTTTGCCATTTCCACGAAGTTCTGAGTGTGTTCTTCAATTTCCTCTTTTTAGGACTGTGTAATAAATGCTGTGTTGCTGTGGGGTGGTTGTTGTCAAGGTGTTATTGAATGGTTGCTAGGGTAGGGTGTTTTGGGTTGTTGCTATGCGGTCTACATCAAAAGACTCTAAACCAGGCGTGGCTACGTTAGTTCCTGGAGGGCCGCTGTCCTGCATAGAGCAGAAAAACACACCTGAACCAGTTAATCCAGAGATGTCAAGTTAATTGGAGAAAAGCCACTGGAAGTCAAGCCTGCAACCTTTAGCCAAAAAAGCATGACAGCTAACATTAACACTGTGACTTATCCTGGGAAGGAGACCAGCAGAATTTGTTATATGATAGGCTGTGGTGCCTCATGTGATCCAAGTTAACCATTACACTTTTTCCAATGATAATAAAGATCCTCTCATTTACCAAGAAGTTGCCCTTTTAGGAGCATGTTTTGACACCTCTGGTGGAAATAGTTGAACAAATGTACAGAAGTATTGTATGCTAGGCATGAATAGACTTTTTTTATGGATTATTGAACAAATTTAAAAAAACATACTTCTTTAAAAACTGATTTCAGATGTTATTCTTGTTTGTGTAATTGTCAAAAGAAACATTTAATGGTAAATAAAGGCACATAATCAGTACCTGAGGTGTTCATGGTTATAGTAATTTATGCTGTTGTTCATTCGCGGCTATGCAGAAATAGAAACCGTTTCTGCGGCTGGTTGAGTCAAAAACTTCTTTTAAAATGGCGAACAAATAACTTTTTTATCAGGCTACGGCTTCATTTTATGTGTAGTCAGGACACGGTTGAAACAATCCAACAGAAATATTGTTTTGTAGGCATGAATGGATGGATAGATTTTTTAAATGGACTATTGAACAGATAAATCTCGTGAGCCTGTTTATCTAGAATAGAAACTCTTTTCTTCTTTACAAACTGATTTCAGATATTATTCTTGTTTGTGTTTATGTCAAATAAAGCATTTAACGGTAAATAAAGCACATAATCAGTACCTGAGGTGTTCATTGTTATAGTAGTTTATGCTGTTGTTCAGATAAGGCTATGCAGAAATAGAAACTGTTTCTGTGGCTGGTTTAGTCAAAACTTCTTTTAAAAGGGGGAACAAAAACCTTTTATCATGCTGCAGGGTAGGGCTGGGCGATTAATCGAAAAGTAATCAAAATAGATATTCAAATCAAAACCTATAATCAATCTATTTTTTCCAGGTCATTTTTTTAAATTACTTTCCCTACTGTGTGGAGTCACTTTACCCTGCTCTGTTAAAACTAAATTACACTTGTTATAGTGTGATTTATACTTATTATATTATTATGATATTATACTTCTGCCAAGGGGGTGTGTACAAAACATCTCAAAAATATTTACTTATATGTCACAACATGTAGCGCAAGCTTTGTGATTGGTCGGTTTGGTAGCGGTGACAATGGTGGGGAGCACAGAGAGGCACGTTTAGACATTGTGTTTTAATTTCAGTTATTTAGCGTAGATGTTCAATATATAAGAATAGATAGTATATCATTTGTGTTTACTTCAATTATTAAAAATCAAATAATGCATCCTAAATTCAAAAATCTCTCGCTTGTAATATTTGAGCCTATTTACTATACAAAACTTCTCAGTAAACTATGAGGGCAAAACCATTAAATGAAATAATTGTTCATTATTCGTAATCAAATTAAAATGTTCAGTTAGTTGTGATTTCGATTTTAGGCCAAATCGTCCAGTGTGTGTAGTTGGGATACGGTTGAAAAAATCCAACAGAAATATTGTTTTGTAGGTATGAATGGATGGATCGATTTTTTTTTTTTTTTTTTTTTTTTATGGATTATTGAACACATTTTAGAGTCACCAGATGAATTGGTGAAAATCAAACTGATTTTGAATATCATTCTTGTCTGTGTAATTGTCATATAAAGCATTTATCAGTAAATATAACACATAATTAGTACCTGAGGTGATCCTTGTCATACTAGTTTATGCTGTTGTTCAGCTGCAACATTGCAGAAATAGAAACCGTTTCTGCGGCTGGTTGAGTCAAAAACTCTTCTTTTAAAATAGAAAAATACTTTTTATCATGCTGCAGTGTTATTTTGTGTGTGGTTAGGACAAGGTTAAAAATCCAACAGAAATATTGTTTTGTGTGCATGAATGGATGATGGATAGAATTTTTTATGGATTATTGAAAACATTTTAGTCACCAGATGAATCTCGTGAGCCTGTTTATCTACAACAGAACATTCTTCTTTAAAAAGGTCGGCGCCAGTGGTGTAGTGGTTAGTGCGTCGACACACGCACTCAGGTGTTCATGGCGACCCGGGTTCGATTCCGCCTCGCGGTCCTATGTCGATCCTTCCCCTCTCTCTGCTCCCCATGCTTTCCTGTCAATAATCTCTACTGTCCTATCAAAAATAAATGTGAAACCCCGAAAAAATTATTATGAAAAAAAAGATTTTAGATATTATTCTTGTCTGTGTTTGTGTCAAATAAAACATTTAACTGTAAATAAAGCACATAATCAGTACCTGAGGTGATCCTTGTCATAGTAGTTTATAGTGTTGTTCAGCTACGGCAGTGCAGAAATAGAAACTGTTTTTGTAGTTGGTCGAGTCAAAAACTCTTATTTTAAAGTGAAAAATACCTTTTTTCATGCTGCAGCGTCATGTTTCTTGTACTTAAGATACATTGTAAAAATGCTAATTAATAAAATGTTGTAATATATATATATATATATATATATATATATATATATATATATATATATATATATATATATATATATATATATTAACTGTAATTCCTACACTAGCTAAGTATCCAGACATTTCCATGAGAATGGAACTTTTTAGCGAAATTGGAATCTCACACAAAACATTTGAGAATAAAGCACTGATGTTTTCATCCATAAAGCACAAAATCGCCACTTCCTAATAAACTAGCGCCAAATATAATAAAGTATACTACCTGATAAATCCCAGTTGTAAGAGCAACAAATAAAAACTTGACTTCTAGTTGATCATTTGAAAAAGTGGCAGAAAGTAGATTTTTCAGATGAATCATCTGTTGAACTGCAAAAGATACTGCAAAAGACCTGCATGGACCCAAGAATGTCACAGAAATGGGTCAAGTTTAATGAATGAAAAATCATGGTTTGGGGTTATATTCACTATGGGGGTGTGCGAGAGATCTGCAGAGTGGATGGCAACATTAACAGTCTGAGGTATTAATACATTTATGCTGCCCATTACATTACAAACCACAGGAGAGGGCAAATTCTTCAGCAGAATAGCGCAAATTCACATACTTCAGCCTCCACATTAAAGTTCCTGAAAGCAAAGAAGGTCAAGGTGCTTCAGGATTGGCCCGCCCAGTCACCAGACATGAACATTATTGAGAATGTCTGGGGATAAAATGGAGGCATTGAAGATAAATCCAAAGAGTCATGGTGAACTCTGGGAGTCCTGCAAGAACACTCTTTGCCATTCCAGATGACTTTATTAAAGAATTATTTGAGTCATTGCAGAGATGTATGGATGCAGTCCTCCAAGTCCTCATGGGAGTCATACACAATAGTAATTTTTTTTCCACTGCACCATGACTTTTTATCCTATAAGTGACAAGACTGTTGTTATCGTTAAGTGACAAGACTGTTGTCTAGACAAAGTTAGACCTTACTGTCCTAATTAAATAAAGTTCAAGGCATGATCATATTCTAGAGGCCTGTGCCTTTCATATAAGCCACTTCTGATACCAATTGATCAACTAGATGTCAAGTTAATATTTGTTGTTCCTAAAACTTGGATATGCGACAAGACTTTTGTCAGGTAGGGTTTGTGTGTAACAAGTTCAAACAACACAGTGCTGTATTAATACCACCAACATCATGAATTCGATTCGCATGAACTGATAAAACAAACAAGGTTGCTTTGGATAAAAGCATCTGCCAGATGCATGAATGTAAATATAAATGAAATGATAAAGCAATTCCTAATATCTTCCTCTCTGTTTTTTTTATCTCTGCAGGTCTACACACAACGAGATGGAGAAGAACCGGTATGTCCATTTCACCTTCGTGTCATTGTCACAGTTGTTCGTTCTTATCTGTAAGCTTTGCCAGGATTATACCTCATTATATCCACACACATTTAGATTCAACTTCAGTAATTAAAAGCAGGGAATGTGACCGAACGTGGTCTGTTCATGTGTTCTGTTCATGTGAGTCCACTAGCACCAATATAGCACACTCTGAGATAAGTATTAAGGTCAGTGAGTCTGCTGATGTATCCATTCAGCTTTGACCTAGAGATAAACCCTCAATAAATGACCTGAAATTTTCAACTGGCTAATTTAGCAGGCTTAGCGTCTCCGTCGCCGGGCGCTCTGTGGTTTGGGTAACACACGCGCCAACCATCCCTGAGCTCAGCTTGCCGAATGCATTGAATAATACATGGCACGAGGCTTAGTAGTGAGCAAAACCAGGGTGTCTGGACTTTGACTTCTAAACTCCTAACAATGCAGAGCTTAAGTCGCACTCCCCTCCCATTCGTGCTTAGTAAAGTGTGTCCTTTCTGAATACATCAGACCAAACTCTGAGTTCACAGTGCTTCAGACATTGATCCAGTATTCGTTTCTGAAGAGCAGCTTTCAAGTACTGTTTAGAAATGGGGAAAAAAAACAGGCAAAGAAGGAAAGCAGGGCTCCCTGTGTCTCTGCTTTTGTTTCACACTGGCTCAAAATGGAGTCCAGGGTTGATATTCATAAAGCTACTCGTGTGGGAGTGCTTTTGTGATGCAGATTTGAAGAAATGGCCAGCGTGTCTGATGTGAGACCAGCACAGCTGTGTTGTGATGATTCATGTGGTTCAAAAAATATATATATAACAAGGCTAATGCTGTGGCCTAGCAGTTAATATGTGTGGTTCTGTCATGGTTTACACTTATTTCATACCAGTTTGAGTTTTTTGTTCTGTTGAAAACAAAAGCAGATTTGTAAACAAAAATTAGATGGGTAATTAGAGAGAATCTTTGAATGAACTACTCGTTTATAGGTACACTTTTTGGAAATAACCTTATTTTACATCTCCCCTAGACTTAAACAGTTGAGTTTTGACATTTTTAAATTCATTCAGCCGAACTCTGGTTATCGTGGGAGCATTTTTAGCTTAGCTTAGAATAATTCATTGAATTAGATTAGACCGTTAGCATCTCATTCAAAAAAGAGTTTTAATAAGACCAACAAAAGTTCCTTGATTGTTAATCTAGAATAAGAGTAAAGTTTCTAGCCATATCAGCCTAGAAATAAGCTACTTTTCATTTTCTGTAGGTTTATATTACTTGTGACCACAGTAGAGTCAAACTTTAAATAGAAAGATTATTTGTTTATTTATTTATTTATTTATTTATTTTGCATTGAGTGAAATGCAACTGGATTGAATAATTTATGTTAAGTAAAATGCTCCCACAAGACCCAGAGATTTGCTGAATGGATTTTAAAATGGTAAAACTCAACTGTTTAACTATTGGTGACTATTTCCAAAAATAGTGGACTGTTCCTTCAAGTCTTAATGCTTTTTCAGACGATTTCCATTCTTTCTCTTTTAATGAAATGGATTTTGTTACTTATGTTAATTTAGCAAGAATTCTCTAAATTGCGTAACATGGAAGTAAGGATATTTGTATTGTTACAAGTAATTTCTGATGTTTTACAGCACCACAAAAGAGAATCAAACTGATTGCTGGACTGGATCCAGTAATAGACCATGGACTGTAAATATGGCATTTAATAATTAGAATATGAGTTGAATTAATATTCTTGCTTGGGCTTTAAGAAGATATGTGCTATTAAGTCGCCAATATATACTTTAAAATGTTAAATAAAGGGTTCTTTTCAAATCCAGTCAACATTTAGGATGGCTGATGTGGCAGGACTAATAAACACTAATCCAGCCAGTGCTACAATCTACTTACAGAATCAGAAAAATCACAATTTAATATTTTTAAGAGAGAAACCGAGTGTTATTATATATAAATATATTTGGGGGTCATTAATTGTCACAATCATTTGGGATCCTTGTTTGCTTTCCTTCTCTCTCTTTATGTCAAGATGTGCAATAATATTCTAAAATTAGTGATATTTGTAATTTTTTGGGAAATTCTGCAAACTTGACAGCTTAATACGGCTTATTACAGCTGTGCCATCACAGGAGTAAGCTTTAAGCTTTTAAGAAATATATTAAATGCAATTGTTAATTGTAATTGTTTCACAGCATTATTTAATTTGAATCAATAAGTGAAGAGGCTTCTTGCAAATATATAAAATCTTGCCACAAACATCTTTTCAAGAACCAGTTGGGTGAGATAATGGCATACGATGCATTACTACTTTATAAAAAATAATAAAGCATCTTCAGTGTGAATCTGTTTTAAGCACATCTCTTTAATCTGTGTTTTTGTCCCTCAGGAAAAAAATGCTGAATATTTGTAAAAAAAAATAAAAAAAAATAAAAAAGCTTTGTTTGCACCTGGCTCTCAGTTTAACACTGTGCCATTTAGAAAAAAATCAGATGTTGTTTAAGTTAAAAATCTCACCTAAAATACCCCGCAGAAAGCCTGCTCTCGGTGTCATGTAAAATGTCACACACCTGCATCGTGTGAAACTCTAACATTTGTCCTAGTGACCTCAATGCCACACATGGCATGTGTTTTCACTCTGCAGCAGTTATGGGCCATATGTGACACAAACACGCACACACACAAAGGCAAAACGTACACACTGGTTTTTTATGAAGTTCTGGCTTTAAAGTTGTATATTACATAAAAATGGCAAATGAAATAAGATGAATGTAGAAACAACAAATTACATAATGAAACCGTTTGTAAATGAAAGAAATAATTGCCATTTTGAAAATAGTTGTACATACAAGATGCAGAATTGGTCACTCAAGACTTACACACTCTTATTTTTGAAAAGGGGAAAAAAGAAAAACCTATTCGTTACTCTTGTAATAATATTTTGATGATAAAATGGTGTTTTATTTTGGAAGCATTTTAAGGGAAATATTTAAAAAGGTGTCCTCCGGAGGAATTTTTGAATATTTATCATTAATCAAACTAAAGGATTATATATGACTCTTTTCAGTGTTGTTGTTTTTTGTACAAAAAATGTTTATTAAGAAGCCGATATGATTGCATGCATGTTATATACTGTATAGTTAGCACAGGTTTTGCTCCGTATAGTCAGTGCTGCTGATATGAAATAAATAAATACATAAATAAATAAACAAATAAATAATTTAAAAATATCTAAATAAGTGAAAAAACATATAAATAACACATAAATTAATAAATACATAAATAAATAATTAAATATCCAAATAAATGAACAAATAAATAAATATACCCAAATAAGTAAGCAAATCAAATAATCAGTCAATCAATACATAAATAAAAAATACCTAAATAAGTAAACAAGCAAACAAACAAATAAACAAAACGTAAATAAATACATGAACAAATAAATAATTAAATGCACAAATAAGTGATCACATAAACAAATAAATAATGCGTATATAAATAAATTAAATACCTAAATAAGTAAACAAATAATACATAAATGCATACATACATACATACATACATACATACATACATACATACATACATGCATACATAAACAAATACAAAACACCTAAATAAGTAAACAAATAAATAAATAATACGTAAATAAATACATAAACAAATAAATAATTAAATACTTAAGTAAACAATAAATAAATTAATAAATACCTAAATAAGTAAACAAACAAATAAACAATGCTTGCATAAATAAATACATACAGGCATACATATAAATAATTAAACTTAATTAAAAAAAAAAAGAATATATGTTTGTTCTCTAGATAGACTTCACATACCTGTGGCCAGTTTGACTTGTGAGAGGGTTTTAGATCTGTAACCTGAGCTCCAGGCCGCCGCAGATGCCTTTGCGTGTACAGTTCTTCCAGCAGGGTTAAGACAATTACTTCGAGGTTAGAGGTCAAAGGCCAGGAGAGGACGGTGATTTATGATAAAAGTCATATGGCTTGAATGGAGAGAGTGTGACCTGTTTAAAGAGCAGGTATGTGGGGTCTCTCAAAACTATAGGGTGGTATTCCTTTTGCAGAGAGAGTGTTTTTATATTTTATTCTGAACCGTTACGATCCTGCAGGTGGGCCATGAGATCGCTTAAAATTAACTCTCAATATTATACTATAATTTTATTATTTAATTAATATGCTATATTAAAATGATTAAATGCAGTTTCTCCTGTTTTCTGATCGATTACATCAAACTCGGCGCAAAAACTGTTTCATCATTACGTCTGCAACTACACGTAGTCTGTTCATTTACAAAATTATGCGTAAAGTGAAAGTGTCTCTATGTGTATTTTTGTGTAAACTATATACTATATTTGCGTAGTTGTCCAAATTAATGTCCTGTGAGTGTTTTATAACGGACACAAGCCTATACAAAAGCATCAAGTGAGGCTTATTGGTGTTTCTGCCATAGAATGTAAAATAAACTTGCATATGAGCTTCAGACACGCTCTGGCGGAGCTGTTCACTGTTCCTGTCAGCAATCTCCCAATAATATCCAGCTGCAAACTCAACCGCCATAAGAATTATACGTTTCAACAGATTTAGGGTGTTTTAATGTATTTTACATTTGTCTATTTTTGAATAGTAGATATTTAATAGTAGATATTCCGTCAGTTCAGTTTAAAATAGAAGCTGGTCTTCTGCAATATATATACAGTATATATATATATATATATATATATATATATATATATATATATATATATATATATATATATATATATATATATATATATGTGTATACACACATACACACACGCACACACACACATACACACATACATACATACATTCATACATAGATATATACATACATACATACATGCATACACATACATATAAATGTATCATATTTTTTCTTGTTTAAATATTTCACAAATGTATGTCTGATAATATTTGTTCTTCTGGAGAAAGTCTT